AGCTGACTGGGATTCTTTTCATGATTTTCTTCGTGATGGTCCTTGGGCTGATGTTTTTTCTCTCTCAGCTGATAAATGCGCCTCCTACGTAACCTCCTGGATTCAGGCTGGAATGGAAGCTTTTATTCCTTCTCGTCGGTTTTAAGTCAAGCCTCATTCTACTCCATTAAGTTTTCTTCTTCTTGTGCGGCTGCTATATCCAATCGTGATCATTTTTTTCATCTTTTTCAAAAGAACAACTCTCTTGAGAACAAACGGCTATTTATTATTGCAAGAAATCAATGTAAAAAGGTGCTTTCTGATGCTAAACTCCATTATTCTCAGTTCACTAAATCTCGCATCTTATCACAGAAGTTAGGCTTTAAAGACTTTTGGAAAATCTTCAACAGCATTATTAACAAGGGTAGATCTAACATTCCATCTCTCATTCACGGGACTGATCTTATTACCTCTCCCAAGGATAAGGCAGAACTATTTGCAAAGAACTTTTCTTCTAATTCCACTCTTGAATCTTATGGACATTCTCTTCCTTCCATTCTAGTCAAACAGGTTGACCCATTGTTAGACATTCAAATCACTCCGGCTTCTGTTGCTAAAGTCATATTTTAATTAAACTCGTCTACAGCTTGTGGTCCAGACAACATTTATGTCACAGTCTTTCAGAATTGTTCTCCAGAACTTTCTTCAATTCTCTCTAATTTATTTAACAAGTGTTTGACTGAGTCTTGTTTTCCTGCTTGTTTGAAAATGGCATCTGTGGTTCCAATATTCAAAAACTCTGGAGAAAATTCTGACCCCTCCAATTATCGTCCCATCAGTCTTCTTTCTGTTATTAGCAAGGTCTTTGAGTCTTTGATCAACAAATTCCTACCATCTCATTTTGAGTCAAATAAACTACTGTCAGACAGTCAATATGGTTTTTGATCCTCTCGCTCTACAGCCGACTTGCTAACTGCTGTAACTGAAAGATTTTATTGTGCATTAGATGGAGGTGGTGAGGCTAGGGCTATTGCTCTCGACATATCTAAAGCTTTCGACAAAGTTTGGCATGCTGGTCTTCTCCATAAGCTTGCTTCATATGGTGTTTCTGGGAAAGTTTTTGAGATTATCAAATCATTTCTTTCTAACCGGTTTATTAAAGTCATCCTTGAAGGCCAACACTCTTCTTTATTTCCAGTAACTTCTGGGGTTCCCCAAGGTTCCATCCTGGGCCCTGTTTTGTTTCTTATCTACATAAACGATCTTCCTGACAACCTTTCATCTAAAGTAGCTCTTTTTGCTGATGACTCAACTTTATACTCCTGTCTTGACAAAAAGTCTTCTCTTTTCGATCGCCTAGAACAAGCAGCTGATCTTGAATCTGATCTCACTTCAATAATAGATTGGGGTTCACAGTGGCTTGTGAATTTCAACTCTAAAAAAACCCAATTGCTTACTGCAAACAACGACCGTAATATGGTCAACATTCCTATATTAATGAATGGCAATCCTCCTACTGTGTCCTCCTCTTTACGTCTTTTTAGATTATCGCTTACTACTGACCTTTCATGGAAACCATATATACAATCGATTGCTAAATTAGCTTCTGCTAAGTTTGCTTCTCTTTATTGTGCTCGCCATTTCCTTACTTCTGATTCCATTCTCTACCTCTACAAATCTCATATTCGTCCCTGTATGGAATACTGTTATCATATTTGGGCTGGTTCTTCTAACGATTCACTTTCTCTTCTTGACAAGGTCCAAAAACGCATTGTAAATGTTGTTGGACTTGGACTATCTGCTAAGCTTGAGCCTCTTTCCCATTGTCGTAAAGTTGCATCTCTTTCTCTTTTCTACAAATACTATCATGCTCACTGCTCAAAGGAGTTATCATCTCTAGTTCCATCAACTAAAATTCATTCTCGTTTTACTCGTCATTCAGCTAAGTCTCATTCGTTTACTGTATCTGTCCCTGCATGCTCTAAAAACTTTTATTCATCTAGTTTTTTTCCCTGCACTTCAATCCTTTGGAACTCTCTCCCATCTTCATGTTTTCCTGACTTATACAACTAAAATTAAAAAAAAAAAAAATTGCAAATAAAAAAAAAAAAAAATTGAGTTATCTAAAAAATTAAAACCCAACTTATAATGAACAAACAATCTTATAATAAGTAAGAAAATCATATAAATTATTCATACCATCAGATAAAATTTAAGACTATTTGTAATTTCGTGAAAAACATTTGTTGGCAGCTTACTGCCATTATTATTAAACAAACTGCAACTTCTTAACAATTTAGCAACTAATAAAACAAATTTTATTTTATTACAATGCATAAGTAATTGTATAACTTCATCATATTAAAAAAAAATAGAAACAATAAAACTGAATAAAAAGAATCTTTTTATTCAGTTTTTAACTTTTAAAATTATAAATTAAAACCTACAACTAATGATAAGCTGTGCCACTAAAACTAAAAATACAAACTAAAATTTTGTAATTCAATTTAAAACCTTTTGTACAAAAAAAAATTGTTGAGTAAGAAACAAAAAAAAAATTAAATGTTTAATCTAACCTGATTATCACAATAACACTGCACTGATTATAACCTGATTATCACAATAACACTGCCCTGATTATAACCTGATCATTACAATAACACTGCACTGATTATAACCTGATTATCACAATAACACTGTGCTAAATAATTAGATTCATATAAAACATGATTGAATATCTAACATAAAATTATTTGAAACCAATAAGAAATAAGAAACTTATCTTTAAAATCAGGTCATTATCAGCTTCTATAAAATTAAACAGCCTGTTAAGATAGAATTTCAATATATCACCTTTAAGACAGAACAAGTTTTGTTAAATAAAACATTAATTAAACTTTAATAGTTTTAAAAACGGGTTAAATTTGAAATTTAAACTTTAAAAATTTGTATTATTTATGATAATAGAGAGATTCAAAGCTATTTTAGAGATTTATAAAGAAATATAGTAAATCTCAAATTTCTCCCGGTGTTTTGATGTTTTTTGAAATTTCAAGCATTTTTAAAAATTCTCTCCCTTTCGTTTGTTATAGTGTATAATATCTTTATATATGTTATGTATAAAACTTCAAAAGTGTTTTATTTTGTATTTTACAAAAATCAAAAAAGATTTTAAAAAAGTTGCTATTGGTAGGAATTAAACAACGAATTTTTGCTTCAGAAACTCTACAAGATAACCCCTCAGCTACACAGTTGTATTGTCTAATGAAAATTTTAAAGCTATATAACAAACAAAAGTAAAAAAAAAAAAAGTAAAACTTAGTAAAACAGGAATAACTGCTACAGATCAAATTTATTATTAGATTTTTAAGAAAAAATAAAATTATAAAACTAAAAATAAAATAAAAAAATAAAAATATATGTTTTAGTATGTTTTAACAAAATTTGAAGTTTAATATATGCATAGACTTTTGTTCATATTTTCTTATAAAAAATTACTGCGACACTTTCTTGCCATTAACTAGGGTGTAATGGATACCATGAGGTCCGTGTCAAACATGCTTAAATGTGCATTAATAAGTTGCTTATTATATTATATTATCATATGTATATATATGTGTGTATTAGTACTTGCATGTATTTTTGATAAGAGTACTCAATAAGACAATAAGATTAAATAAAATCAATAAAATCAGAAGTATATAAATATGTGAATTATGATAAATATGTGAATTATGATAAATATGTGAATTATGATAAATAAAAACAAGTTTGTATTTAGTACTTTAAGTTTAATGCAATTATCAAGCAAACTTTTAATGCAATTATCAAGCAATAAAAACATTAAAAAATATAAGCATCCGTTGTTTAGTTTTTTAAACAGCTTTTTAATGGCGGTATAAGTTTTTTTTGTTGGTGTCAATTTTTAGGTTCATGGTTATCTGAATAAAATTTATTTTCATGGTGGCATTTTGATATGATTTCAGATTTTTATTTCATTTT